GATCGCTTCTTCCTCACATGTGCCTGCTTACGGGCATGATGATGTATGAAGGTGGGTCGGAATCTGTGTTAATTACATGAAAATTAGTACATTTCCGCATGGAGGAAGTTTTTTGCCATACACATTGGTCGAACTAAGACTAATATTTTTTATTTGCCTAGAACTGTAATCAAATAATTATAAATTTAATATCCAGATATTTAAAAAGTTTTTCCTCTCCGATGAAGTGAAAAAATTTTTCGCTCCATACTCCATGCAAAATCGGTTCCCAGTGAAAATATTGCGTGGTTGGATTTTATTTTTTATTAATTTTATTTTTATTTATTGCGTGGTTTGATTTTGAAGATAAAGCCACTTGGAATCAATAAATAAATGGGACCGTTAATGCTTCACTTTCAACGAAGCTGCTTTTGCATTGACAATATAATTATTTCACTTAGTAATTTATATAATATTTGGATACAGAATGTGACGCTAGGGGCAGTTTCGATCTCATTTGCATTAATTATCGAAAAAAACAAGCTACAATTTTTGCTGAGGTTGATCGAATACTAATCGACCGAAAACTGATCAACAATAAAAGTGTTATTTCAATCAAATACTGAATCTAATAGTTTGAGTAATTTTTTTCTATTTAAGATTCTTATACATTCTAAAAATTTAGTTTCAGTTTCATGTTCAGTCATAATGGGATGAATTATATGCATATTAGTCATAAATAATGCAAAGAAATTACAGTAATCGCTCCCATCCGATTGCCATTAATTTTTATTATTTTACGCTTTTTCATTTCGAAACTTTATTACATCATCATTCATACTTTTATCATATACATATGTACGTACTAGGACTATTTTTCTCTGATGCAACAACAATTCCTTCTTCAAACAATTTCTAATAAAATTGAATACATATCACTCTTTTTAAATTCATCTTCTGTCATATACATTTGTACGTACTAGGACTATATTTCACTGATGCAACAACAATTCCTTCTTCAAACAATTTCAAATAAAATTGTATACATATCACTCTTTTTAAATAAAACTTCCTTCATTTATTAAGCACTGGTCACGGTATACTTGCGTCAGGAGTATTCGCGTGGTATCCGTACGTAGAGAGTTTACTCGCGGTATTCTTACGTAGAGAGTTTACTCGTGGTATTCATACGTAAGGAGTTTCCGCATGGTATTCCTACGCCAAGAGTTTCCGCGCACTATTCTAACGTTGAGAGATTCCGCTTGGTATTATAACGTAGAGAGTTTCCGCGTGGTATTCTTACGTAGAGAGTTTCCGCGTGGTATTCTTACGTAGAGAGTTTCCGCGTGGTATTCTTACGTAGAGAGTTTACTCGTGGTATTCATACGTAAGGAGTTTCCGCATGGTATTCCTACGCCAAGAGTTTCCGCGCGCTATTCTTACGTAGAAAGTTTCCGCATGGTAATCCTACATAGGGAGTTTCCGCTGATTGGTATTCCTACGTCAAGAGAGTTTACAGTATATGGGGATTCCTACGTCGAGATCATCCCAGTGTTACTGTAAATTCCAGTCATAAATAGATATAATACTTGAGAACCTACGTGATGTACGAAGGCGTCTGCCATATGATGCCTAGAACCACGACTGCCTGCAATAAAATACTCGAATGATTTTTTTTGCTGAAGCTGAATCTTTTTTTCGAAGGCATTTTGGCGTGAGCGTTGCATTGGGCGACTAACCTTTTCTCTCTGGAATTTTATTATTATGTTTATGATGTAGTGCGCCTACAAGAACACCGAAGTTCTTTCGCTATCCGAAGTCATGTTTGCCTCAACCTTTTCAAGTTTTGCACGCCATGATCAATGGTTATCATTCGCGAAAAAAGAAAACATTTTTTCTAGTTCTGCAATGATGTTACTTACTCCTTGCACGACTGCAAGATAAATTGGCAACTTTTGAAATCAGTTTCATCAATATTGTGATTTGATTTATTTCAGTTTGATTTAACTTAAAATTTAGATTTATTTATTGTGTAGATCTAATAATGTAAGCAATGCGTCGAAAACTTGAGTCGTACGAAAAGTTTTATTTGTTCAGCGCGCACCGAGCTGTTCGTATGATCTAAGCTGTATTTTGACAGTATTTTTGGCTGTATTTTTGCCGATATAGGCTGTATTTCTTTTAATTTTAGAAAGAATGGCAGTGAAAACATTTATTTAGTGTCTCAACCAATGGACTTTTTGAAGATTTTTGTAGATATAAATTTGATGTTATTTTCTTAAGGTTGTAAAGGAAAAATTGACAATCAATTAGTAAAATTGATAGAGAACTTCATTCCCATAAAACCCAGATGCATATAGCAATCTATAATTTTAGTCTTCGGTAAACGTCCTCCTTTCTTTTCCACCTCCTATTCTCTTCTAAAAATTAACTTCTCTCTTTCACATCCTCTTCTATTTTTCGCATCTTCTTCTCTTTTCCACATCCTCTATTCTTTTCATCATACTCTTCTCTTTTCGATTTTCTCTTATTTTTCAACATCTCTTCATTGCAACATTTTCTTTTCAACATGTTATTGTCTTGACACATCCTCTTCTCTTCAGAAATCACAGTCATTATTCCTGACCATCTGCATTGATGATAAGCTCCTGACATTTCACTAATTGCTCGTTTACGATTTCGATTAGCTGAGAATTAGGATTAAATTCATCGATCGAAGCTTCCGTTTCACCGCAAATTGAGATAATTGCTGATGACTAATTGACCAAGCTATGAGGCTCCATAGGCATTGTGTAGGCCTTTTTCATCTTTTAATGAGGAATGATTGATACAGAGTTGGCCTATAGAATTATACAATTTTGGAGTATTTGGAGCAACCTTTTTTTATTTTTTACTGATGCAGTAGATGAGTGTCTGGCTTCCGAATTTTAAATTTCCATCAAATTTGGCAATTCAATATGAATACATGTGAATCCTTCTGAATTGGTTATCTAAACTATCGACTATAATCAAATGAAAGTTTGTTAAGATAATTTGATGTTCTATCAAACTATTTATTTCTCCAGGCTCTTTCTCCTACACTCTCAGGGAAAATTCTAAAAGTTATTTCCGAATAAACAGATATTAAATAATTTTCAAATATCTCATGTAATTATCTTGAGAAGAAGACGAAACCTCCAATAGTTTCGAGAGGAAATTATTCGAAATTACTCGTTGCGATTGTACCTAATTTCTGCAATCTCGAAGTCCAAACTTCGTTGTTTATTATTGTACACATACGAATGGGAAAGTTTCGACATACTGCATTGGTCTTTATACCAATGCAGTATGCCAGTCATCTAACTCTTTCCAGTAAAGAACACCATTCAAAAGCGTTCCTTTATAGGAGCTTAAGGCAGAGGTTTTTATGCAATATCTTTTGCCTCGCTTACAAACACCTGCTCTATTATGTTTCTAATGCAACGTCTCTTGAAGAATCTGAAAACCAAGCAAACTTTGCAAAAAATGTCCATTGTTCTCCCGGAAAGCGATTGCGGAGCTCTCCATTGCAAAGTTTTCCGTGTGCGATTCTCGATGTAGACGTGAGCGACACGCATTTTAACGCTCAAATGAGCGGCAGATCCTTTGCTCGAGCCTTAATTGCGTGTAACGAGCTCCTTATGAACACGAAATTCCCGACTGTGATTTATGTTCCATGTTGGTTTCGATTTACTTGTCTTAGGCGCCTGTGTTAATTTAACGAGGTTGGAACCATCGGTCATATAACTTGTCTTTCACTCACAGTGGATTTTTTTTTTATAAAATATTTCCCTGTTGAAACTGATTGATGGAAGCCGAAATAGATCAGGCAGCTTAATTTTAAAACATCTTTAATTGTATACAATTTCCATTAAAACCTGTGAAACCACAGTACGAAGTTGGCGACGGTCTGAGGCATTGTTGCCTTAGTGTAAGGTAAATCTAATGAGTGATGAGAACAATTAATACGCTATGTTTTAATGTAACTCACAACTTTGAACATTTGTCTTTAGTAGATTAAGGGAGAGACTCGGTCTCTCCTTCAATATATTATTTAGCATTGACTTTCCTCCTCGGATTGACATAGAAAATGTCAAGTAGGAAGGAATCCCTGGAATATATGATGCGGTCGATACCGCTTAATAAAAATAACGGTTAATCATACCACGCTATTTTTTTTGACAAATACTAATTGAAATAAATTTAAGATTTTAACGGACAGAGTTTCGGAGATATAAAGCAATTAATAATCAGACCGACCAATTGATATCCTAATCAAACAATGACACGTTGTAGAAGTTCCGCCCGGCGCCCTAAAGGTTCTCGTGCAGTTGTATTTCTTTGAGATAATAAAATATAGCTTCGTCCTTCTTGTGCGCACAGTATATATGGCAAACACTTTCACTTGGGTCACGATCCAGACTCCGGACAAGAAATGTCAGGAGTGAAAAAAAATTTTATTTAATGAATGATATATGAATGATATATTTTATTTGAATGATATATTTTATTTAATGAATGATAATGATATGAATCGGATCACTAAAATATATATACAGAATAATACATAATAATAGTAAGAACATTCCTAACTAGAATTTCTGTGCACTGAATAAATCACAAAACGAATAACACGACAGGATGTTAACAAACATTAAATAACACTAGATAAAAATAAACAAGTTACCTGTGTAGGTTCTCGGACAGTAATGGACATTGGTAGAACCTTTTCTACGGATCAAACCTACGGATTACAACGTTCATTTGGTGTTGGGATTATACAAATTTGCTGTTCGCAAATCCGAACAAATATTCCGAGACTGTGAAATAACAAACAGTTTTCTTTTTCCCAGGGCAGAACCTATTCCACGGATCTAACCTACAGATTACAATGTTCCGATGTGGTTGGGTTTATGCAGATTTGCTGTTCATGAATCCCCCCTAAAAAAAATCAACAACAACAGCTGACTGTGAAATAACAAAGGGTTTTCTTTTTTCTCCAGCACGAGGAAGGCGAGGCAGGCGGCAGACTGGAGCCTGATCCGAGGTACGGCCGCTGCTGCAGCAGCGTCTGCCGTCCGGGCTACGCACTGCGCGACGCGCTGCTCGGTCTCCTCGTGCTGCTGGGTCTCGCTGTCGTAGTCGCTGTCATATTCGTCGTATGCTTCTATGTCATACCGGGTAAGAATTACTTCATTCTAATTCTCTTAGATTATTCTTCCTCCCGGCTGAGAATTTAATTCTTTTAGATTATTCTTCTATTGGGCTGAGAATTTCGTTCTCTTAGATTATTCATTCCCCAGCTGAATTTTGAATTCTCTTAGATTATAATTATTCTTCCTCACGGCTGAGAATTTAATTCTCTTAGATTATTCTTCGTCCCGGCTGAGAATTTAATTCTCTTAGATTATTCTTCCTCCCGGCTGAGATTTTAATTCTCTTAGATTATTCTTCCACCCAGCTAAGAATTTAATTCTCTTACATTATTCTTCCACCCGGCTGAAAATTTCATTCTCTTATATTATATTTCCTCACGGCTGAGATTTTGATTCTCTTATATCATCCATTCTCCGGGGTTAGAATTTATATTAATTTGCTTAGATAACTTCATCTCCTGGATAAGAATATAATGTAATTCAATTCTCTTACATTATTTTCTGCCGAGTGTGACCCTGATTCACTGATTAAATTTTTCACAGTCCCTGCATTGCTTGATATTCCTTAACTCCGATTGGTTTTTAACATTTTCTATGAAGTCTCAGTTTATTCAAGTAATACATAGGGGATGTGTTGAATAGGTTTCATCATTGGTTTTTATCATTCTTGTTTTCCTAGGGTTCATCAAATGAGAAACGATGTATTAACCGTTGCTCCGTCATGCACTAATGCTTATTCCCAGTTTTTTGAAGCACCCATTTATGTACTCTTCATGTATTAACCTGCGGCAATATGTTAACATTTTGTTGTCCGTTCGTTTCGCACTATCTATATAACGACATTTTAACGTAATTATGATGTACATTTTCTTGCGTTGCAATTAACAGCAATTATCAGCACCAATGCCGAAAAGCCTAATGACGTTAACAACCCAGTGCATGTGTCTTTTGAATGATGCATGACGAGCCAAGCCTGGTTAATTCACGTTTTATTGATATTTATATACCCATACTGCGTAAGGTTTGATAAACACAAATTAACTATTTAGGACTTGTAAATCATTTATGAGGTTTAACTTCGTATGTCATCGACAGCTGTAGTTTATTCTAACTGCATTATTTTTCGCGAAAATTTTACGATTATTGTGTATTGTGAGAGTCTGACTTGTTTTTAGTTCATATTTTATATTATAAAGACATGGCCGCTGAATCAATCGAGAACCTATGAGCATTCGTCTAAATTTACCGCAAAAAAATTGTTAATTTAAGTTTACCGCTCATAAACCTTCTGCTCAAGTGACATAAGAAGTTTCATACTTAAAGCATTATTTTTTATTGTCGTTTAGTTTCTATTCTTATTCGTTGGGCTTTCGTGTCTATTCGAAGTTCCTGTCTCATCTGTAGGATTTGATCCTGTCGAGCCTGTCATTGGCATCGATCAACAATATTCGACTCGTGTTCTTGATCCCGAGGTCAATTCAAATGGAAGAGAACATGTTGACCGGCAACCAAATGAGTTGCTTGGACTGAATATGCATGAGCAATTGAGTGATCGTGTCTTACCGTCTTATGCACTATCGACTTCTGTTACAGGCTTGTGTCAGCCTGGACCTAGATCAGGCCTTAAGATTTTCAGAGCTTCAGTATTATGCAGAAATTCTACTGAATGTTCGGACACATAGAAAACATGTGTTTAGTCTTGATTGACATATATATGAAATTTTATTGGATTTATTGATATATATATTTACAATTTTTTACTTTCCGTTGAGAAGTTGGCACAGTATCTTTCATCTTTCGATCGTCAAAAACCTTATTCAGGCAAATGAAATTGCGTTTTCCAGGCCATTCTTTTGTCGGATTATAAAACACTCAAAAAATATAAAAAGTAATCATTCTTGATGCTTATCAGTATAAATATTCATTAACCGATAGTTATTTTCCATCAAATTATAAATAGATTTGTCAGTAATTAATAAAACTTCCATTTATCAACATTGATTGCAGCAAAAATTAAACCTTATTGATTCATTTTTAGTTTATAAAACTGTTCTCATGTTTTCTATTGTCAATACCAAGAATATCACTAAAAATTAATGCCGTCAATATATTTTTCAGACGAGAAACAGCTCATTGAGGAAGGATTGCTCTCCGGCTCTGCAGAAGAAGTGATTGGTGGCCTCGTAGAAGTGAATGAAATCACGCTGCAGGACGGCGATAAATACAAAATTCTTCCAAATGATTCCGGAAAATCTACGGCGGGAAGATCTCAAGACTTCAACACGTTCTCGACGGCAGCAAGTTTTGAAGCTCCTACCACTAAAATAAGCTCAGCAGATTCGAGTCAGTTCAAAGTTTTCCAAGACGCTGCTGATGTTGTGTCCCCTACCAGGGATAGTGAGGCACGACTCGAAGGTAGAGATAATGTCCACAGTGGTCCACGAGTACCAGAGAGTCACCATCATGAACATAATTTGGGACACCATGATGAGCGTCCTCGAATTGAAGGTGGCATGCCTCACGGAGAAGGAACCGAGCACGAGGAAGAGATTGACTTCTTCGCTAATTTGGATCCTGAACCAGGTGAGGAGAATGGAAAATTCCATAGTTTGGTGAAAGGTGAAACATAAAAATAACTGTAAAAATAACTGTAAGCAAACTGAAACATGAAAAAAACTGTAAGTGGTAACTGGTAACAACTTAATGGGGCGTCCTTTGCTCTGGTGGCCTCAAAATATTATTAAGTTTTCATATTTTTTAGCTTTTGGTGTTGGCAAATGACCCGTTTCTTTTCATTTTTTTAGGAGAAAGTATTTTCTTTATTCTATTTTTTACTAATATTTTCGGAGTAAATGAAAACTCTGAAAATTCGAGTGTATATCTTTCTGTTCTTTATTTGTATTTCGCGTAGCTTATTGTGATAATTCATTGCAGTTTGTGGCACCGTTCAACTGCCAATGTGCACCTCTTCCGTTCCCTGGAACCTGGCTGGTCTACCCAACTGGCTGGGCCACCGGGCTGTCGAAGAGGTCTTTGCATCTCTGGACATCGTCAAAGTGAGCGAGCGGTGGTAGAATTTCCCTACAAGTGGTTAATAAATGTCATCTGGTAAGGCAATTGATACAAAATATAATCAAGTTTCCATTGCCGGGCTTTCAACAATCAAGTGGTCACTTTTGATTTGATGTTCCATTTCAAGTGGAGGCTGAGGTTGTTCGTAATTGCGTCTCCACGTAAAAGAATTATCGCGGTAGAATGGCGCAATACCATGGGATAGATTTGTAAATGGCACCTACCGTATTCAAATCAATAGGCATTCTGAAGTATTAACGAACAATAATAATGAAGATAATTATACTTGTAAACATTAATTAGGACGTTTCAAAATCTATTAATGAATGAGCGATTGAACGTATTAATAATATTAATTAATTAATTGGAGAATTCTTCGAAGTGATCAAATTTTATTGAATTGATAGTGATAATTATTTAGGTCGATTAACCGTTAGTGATTATTTCCCTACAAATAATGGTTTATATTCCGTCGCCTCAAAGTTACTGATAATTGCCCTACAAAAAAAAAGAGTTTATTTTTCTTAGTCTGCTCCTCGAGTCTTATATTTAGCAAACAGACAACGTTCTTTGTTCCCGGGTCTGATCGTAATAGACATTTCCCCAACAAACAACGGTCTTTGTTTCCGGGTCTGATCGTAGTAGACATTTCCCCTACAAACAACGGTCTTTGTTCCAGAGTCGGATCGTAGTAGATATTTCCCCTTTGAACAGCGGTCTTTGCTCCAGAGGCTGATCGTAGTAGATATTCCTCCAGTAAAAAGGCTTGTGTTACAGACTAATATATCACACAGACTAATATTTTACTGACAAAATATAATTGTGTCTAGAGCTTGCTCGAAGCCTGAAATTTCCGATACAAACAATTTTTCTTGTTACAGAGTCTGCTCGTATTAGATATTAGATATAATGTTTTGTGTTCCAGAGCCTGTTCACGGACCAGTATTTCCGCTGCAAACAACGGTTGTTGTTCAAGAGCCTGATCAGTGATCATAGTATAATATTATCCACACAAACACCGGTTTTTGTTCCAGAGTCTGCTCGTAGAGTCTGAATGTTCAGCTTTGGCCCCATTATACGCCTGCAGTATTCTTGAGCCGCCATGCAGAGATGCTAAGGTTCTGCCACCCTGCCGGAGCTTCTGCTTGGGTGAGTTCAATTACAATATATGCGATAAGATAGCGTAGGAGTTCAGCTGTTAACTTGGCTACAGGTCAAAAGCATTGGAGTGCTTGGGAAATTTTTATTTTACAAGCTTACGCTAGACGGTACATCTTTGCGACAATACCGGAACTCTGATTTAAATCATTTCAATAAGAATACAATTCCATTATTTTTTAGCAATAAAAAAATGTGAAAAAAAATTCCAGACGTGGCTCGCTCATGCGAAGTCCCTGATTCTTCGGGTGTCGCCGCCATGTTCGACTGCGGCAAATTCCCGGACTCGTCCGATCCCAGCGTCTGCGTGTCGGCGCAACAAGGTAGGGCTTGCCATAACCAATGTAATTTTTATTGTATAGAAATATAATAATATTTTAATAAATATAAATATTATATATTATATTTGTATACAATTGGGTTAATGCTTGCTGTGTGAGAAGCCCCTGCCAGCTTGATCTCTGTCAAAGACCAACTGAACGTGCGCTGATATATCATGGAAGGAAATACTGAATCATCGCTGAGCTGGATTAACAATTCGGCTTTCAGAGTTCAAAATTTTTCTGGAGCAAGCATGCGTTTTGCAGAATGAGCCTGAATTATAAAAAATTGTGCATAAACCATGAAATAAACTACATGGCTGGGATGATTGGCAGTGTTTGTTTTTTCATCGGGAAAAATTCTGGACATAAATGAAATAGTTGTTCACTGTCCCAGTAATCTAATATATTAGGTTTTGGGACTGAATAGCTACATTAATTGACGAAATACTTCGAATTTATTGAAAATGCATGAATATTGATTAAAATTTTCAATTGAACTTTCTGAAATTTTCGAAACTTCGCTTCGGGAGTGTCATTGCGGTCTACATTAATTATCGGTCATCTCATGTTTGTGAGCTTTTGCCCGAAATTATCGATGAAATGAGTGGAATTATGTCCGGAGCATGAATAAAAATTCAAAACTTCATAATAATGCATAATTGATTTATTATTATCATAATGATGTAGCTGACGCTGTGAGACTGCTGTTTTTCGGAAATTTTGAAATCTCTGATGAAATTTTTACGGTATTTTCTTGCAATAGCATGTATAGGTCAAATTTTATAATTTATTGCCTCACGTTTAAAATGCTTGAATCAATTATCATGTAAGCCTACTAATACGCTAACAATCGCATATCTTATGCATATGCGAGCGCTATGATCGGAATAATGCTAGCAATTTATTCCATATTTTGAATGCCTAAACCTCTATGCTTGTCATCAACTATAAAGGGATACCTGATTTTCATCAGAGCCACTGCATCTCACAAATTCGGCAATCGACACACAACATGACACACTTCCTAACGAACACTTCCAAAATTCTGCTAATGTCCCTAACCTCCACAACACAAACTCAATGCAACACCTTCCTGACCAAAGCAAGTCAGATTTAGATCATGACACTCACTTTGTCCCCTCAACACAATCATCAACCGATGATGATAAGTCGGAGTCCGGACCTGCAGAAGATGGTCTGGCCATCTGTACGATGGAGATGTTCATGTGTCTCGATGGCTCCGACTGTCTCTTGAACAGCTATGTTTGTGACGGCAACCAAAACTGCGCCGATAATTCCGACGAGAATAACTGTACTGTCAGTCGCCCTGGTGAGATGTTACAAAAGCCAATTAAAAATTCGTTTTTCTTGTTTAATAGTGAAAACTTTCCCAATTTATTCATTAGTTTCTTCCGTTAAAAATTGATAGTTAGCACAACTCGTATTTCCTATAATTGGGAAAAATGACAACACAAACGGGTTCTTTTCACAAAACGCACTTGGTTTTGTAGCTGCAATATTTATTTAGTAGACACCTCACCCAAATGTACACAACTACACATAATTGTTTTTAGAGCTAACACTTTTCCACCATTAATTACACGTCTGCTCGGCTGAATTTACCGCACGATTTTTTTAGTGGTCTTCTAGTTAGATCCCGCCTGGTTCTGGAGTTTTAAAAAAAATATTGTATAGATTTTCAACACTTATGGATGATTTTGGCTTCCTAACTCCAGAAATTAAAATAGAATATGTATTTTTTCGTATTAATGGGAATACATCTGGTTTTATGGCCCTTAAATATTCTCTATAATATGACTTGCATTCTCAGTTTTTCTGTTGATTACCACAAGAACGAAACAAATACAATTTTAAAATCATTCTCAGACCTTAAGTGTCCCCAAAATTCATGAATTTCACTTTTTAGGGTAACACTATTTAATTTGTTTTCGGTAATTTGATGCCTTTGAAAATTTTTCGGTAATTTGATGCCTTTTATCGAATTCATCATTTTATCTTCTTTAGCATTTAAGTTTGCACTGCCTTTTCTTCGTTAGGTCTGGTATTTCTTTGCTCCTAGTAATTTTAACGACTTTTTAAAATAATCATAAATTGATTAATTATGAGTTTAAGATTTTCTTCGCATGAAACGTAACTCTGATCAGTCCACTCCTTAGAAATGCATGTTAGTTTTTTAATCAAGCAGCAATTATCGATTATGCATTTACCTGGTTGATTTGGAAGTTGAAATTCGATGATTTAGCACAACATTATTTTTTAAGTTTTGTGCAACATTAATCCTGCTGGTTGTAAATTTGCGTGGATGAAATTTAAAAAATTGCGCAGCCATGCACATTCATATGTTATGTTAAAGAAATTCATGAATTTCTGAAAAGGTTAAGGTTCAAAATGCTTAACTCCCAGCACTAAGTGGGGACTTTACTAATAATAATCTCTTACCCATGAGCATTAATTGATACGTTTTACCAGTTGACGAGCACTTATCATATATGATATAAAATTCAGATTTTCGCCAATATTGAGCAATGGACGCTTATGGCTTCTATAAGTTACGTGATCTTAGACAGATCTCGAGCGCCGCTCATGTCAGTTATGATATTTTTTTGTGCAACATTGATCCCGTAAGGCATAATATCCATCATATGTTTTAAAATGCTAGGTAAATAGGTAAAATATCCGAACATAAACAATAACACTAGAAACAGTTTTCGAACGAATTAGTAAATTTAATTGCAGATCATTCATATCTTTTGAGATTCATGAGACAACCTCATCATCATCTGAAACTGAAAGCCCAGAGTTCTAGTTTCAATTTGCCTGGAAATTAATTGGTACAAAATTTAAGTTTGTCACATAAAAATAAATCTAAGAATTCATTACAGGACTACAAGGCACAACGAGGCACATGCCACTTTGTTATTATTATAGGTTTCCCATTATTTTGATTGAAATCGTTTTACCTAAAATAAAAAAGAACAAACTAACTAATCAATCAAACAACAAACTAACTAATCAGGTTTTCGAATATTTATTGCTAACAATTAACGCCGCAATGTAAATAATAAATCATATTCCCTTAATCAAGTGAACCCTGCTTTGAAATGCACGTATCGCAAAATCTTTCTTCCCGAAAATTTTAGTCAATGTACTAACCATATTCCGGTTCCCACATAGAATGCTCAGGAGCTGATGACTTCCAGTGCGCGTCGACAGGACTTTGTGTACCATCGTCATGGCTTTGTGACGGCGCAGACGACTGCAGGGACAACAGTGACGAACAAAACTGCCCTCAACATAGAGAGGGTTTTGTTCCATTGACGAATGACGATAATAAAGGGAATCCTGTAAACGGTGTAGACGCAACTCTTCAGTCAACCAACGGACAGGGCGAAGGTGGTAACGAAAACCCACCGAGCCAAAAAGAATCTGGCACAGGCGAACCGTATATGAGTGGAGGTGTTAAGTCAAAATTTTCAGCACCTGTGTCTAGGTATCATCCTAAAGTCCCCGAGTTTGATCGGAAGGATTCTGCTGAAATTGACGTGGAGCAACAAAGTGGCGCTCCAGAACCAGATGCACCCCCTTTCGCATACGATGAATATGATTCAAACAATCCTGCAGTGATCAACGAGCCTGCTCTAGTCGGTCCAAGTCTGAATGATCCTGGTCTTTTGGAATCAGTTTATGGCCCCAATCTTGAATTCAATAGAGATGAAGAAGCTGTCTTGCGAGATGAACCAGAAAATTTTGAGTCGGAAGCTAAAACTTCAGACAACCAAGTTGCACCAAGTGAAGAATCCGCAGACGATGTACCCCATCCTGTTTTACAAAGTCGGCCATTCAATGGAAATTTTGAACCCAGCGATGATTCCGAAGCAGGTTCAGAGTCAGCTGTCATTGGAAAAGAGGATATAAATCTCCATCCTATTCCGGATGTTGATTACCCTGCCAAAGAAACATTTTCCGTTGATTCATCTTCATCTGTTGACCAACGGGTCGTTCGTTTTAAAAATGAAAAAGTAGATTATCATGACTCGCTCGGTAGCGAAAACCAAGATTTAAATAATCCTGAGGCTCCCGAAAAGCTTCTAAAATCAACGTCAGAATCGGACAGCAGTCCAAGCACTTCTAGAACTCCTTCCCAACGAATTCGAGAGCGGTTGGCAGGGGCTAACCGCCGTCGATTTCCTCCATCAGCCGTGCCTGACCAGCAAGTTAAAACAGAAGGTTCAAGCGATGACATAGCTGACTCTGAAACTTCAATAACAGCTAGACCCACCCGACCTCCATCAAGATTGGAAGGTTTCCAAGAAAGATTTCGTGAATGGAGGCAGCAACGTCGTCCTACATTACCGGCTGACATGCAACCCTTGCAAGCGACCAGGCTCCCTGAAGTGAATAGGGTTACACCGGTAGAAAGGCGCTATGAACTCATCCGGCGTCGTCCACAGAGAGTTAACAATGTCAAAGAAACTCGAGAGGAAATTTCGGAAGCAGAAATACCAGTTTCTAAATCGAGTAGCGAGGTACTTGGTGGCGAAGAGCCTGCTGATAACTTCGAAAATCCGTCTATTGGACAGCCCGTCACGCTCCCTAAAAATGTACTACCTGAAACTAACCCTAACATCTACAATGAAGAACACGAAGAAAATATTGCAGATAATAAACCTATACAAGACTATCATCAGGCAGCACCTCATAGAAGAAGAATTCAGAATCGAAATAGAATTCCAAACAGAAGGATACAACAACAGGATCAAATGCCGTACGATGCAACGCAAACTGTGGCGGAAGAGACGTATCCTGCAATGCTTCATAGGAGTGACGGTACTGATGAGCCAGAACACGAGGAAGCCCGTCGGCCAAGTGTGATTCACCAGGAGCCAATTGAAGTTTACGATGAAGAAGAAAATTCTTTTAATGAAAACGAAGCTGGAGATACAAATGTTCCTAATGTTAGAGATTATGATTCTCGAAGGGACAACGAGGAATATGATTCAGAATCAGCTCGCGAACGGTACGAACCTCCAACTTACACGCCAAGACAATATCAGGGACAATCAGTTAACCAATATCGTCAAGAGTCTGATACTGAATCTCAGTTTAATCCACCAAATAATTTCCGCGTAAGTTTCCCGCTTCCAAGAAACACAGGATCATCTCGTCCAGCTCTGTACAGGCACCGAAGTCAGCAGCCACCTCTGCCGAATGATGCTGGGCCAGCTAGAAGTGAGAACAGCTTCCAGTTCAACGGTCATGAACGCGAACAGCAACAACACCATCAAGCCGAACATCCACAGGAGCCGCACCAAAACAACTTCCAATATCGCGAAGACGCGCTCACCTCCGAGTTACACTACGACGTTCCTGCTGTAAACCAACGACCCTTCAGGATTTACCACCCATCAGGAGAGGGCCGTCATGACCCGTACTCATCAGCCCGTGAGAGACCTTTGTAACGTGACTGACCTGACCATCAAGACTGACGAGCTGTGAAATGTACGTGCCACGCAATTGCATGCTTTCGCTCTCCTAAACAGCCGCTGCTTGTGGTGTAACATGCACGCTGTGCTTACCTGTAATCCACAATGTTGAGCGCAATTGCTTCCTTTTATGAATGTAGGGAAAAAGGAAGCAATGTATTTGCTTCCTTTTTATTTACCTAATCTCATTGCTTGTATGTATAATAGGTCGAATTAATAAGGAATTTTGCTTCCAACAAGTGTTGGTAATTTGTCTTGCCGACAGATTTCAATGCTTATTGCTTAGTAAATTTCAAGTGCTTTCCTAGAAGCCTTGATTGCATGAATATTATAGGTTATACTAAAGTGCTAGCAATTTGTGTTTATTTTCATTATTAAATCTTTTGCTAATTTGCTCAAAAAATATATCTCTCAATATTTATTCACTGCAATGGGATAGCATGAAATATTTAAAAGTAGATTGCTGAGAAAAAACAAGCCCTTCCCGAGAATAATTTTCAAATTATATCATTAAGCAAAGTCTATGCATTAGATTGTGTACATAATTATTGAAAATTTTATAAGAAAACTATGACATCTTAGTTTGATAATCGCTTATATTTTCATACCCTTTCAAGTCGATATATTAATTTTTGCTATGTCGTAATAATTGACACAGATTTCTTAATTACAGATGAGACCACAGTAAACCCTGTGGCAAGCAGCACAGCAACTATTTTAACTGTTAGCTCGCCCGCCGAAGAAAGCATTACACTCGAGAGAGACAATAAGCCTTCCACTAAGCGATCCACATTTTCCACGCCCACTATATCTCCCAGCGCACCAACTCCTATGAGCCTCGCAGACAGATTGAAATTAGCAATGTCAAGTTCCAGTGACGACGCCTCTACAATTTCAGTAGGAAATCGATCACAAAAGCCAAATAATAATCGATCTGAACTCCCTTCTCAACGACTGCACTCAAATGAAGTTTCCGTGACACCTCCGGTCTCTGGCGATGAGAAAGGATCAACGCGTTCCGGATTTTCGTTGGCAGATCGTTTGAGCAGCATAGCAACTGAGCAATCAATTCGCTTCTCTGTTACTTCAAGACCGAAATCCATCTCTAGTGGAGCTCACATTGACACTACAGTGTCGGAACCGTCTTTTGATGATTCTACTGATGCTGTTGCGAACACGGGGACTTTGTCATTGGCTGAACGACTTGCTTTGAGGAATAAATCTAAGCAAACTTCCAAACCTATTCAGCAGCTACAAGGTCGACGCCAGCCTTCCACAACCGACAACCGATTCACGGAAACGTTCGCTGATAGATCAACAGTATCCTCTAGACGTTCACAAAATGGGCTGCGAAACCGGTTCGTGACAAATACCACACCACTTGATATTATTTCCAGCACAGAAAACGATAGCGTTCGTAGAATACCCGTCAGGGACATTGACGATCTACCGCGCGTAAATTTGAACTTCCCGAAACGGTTCTCTACCGAGAGGGTAGCTTTCAGAACTACCCCTAAGCCAACCAGTCCAATTTCAACCGAAGAACCTCAAACAACAACACTGTCTTCTGGTTCGGTCATCCTTCTGGAAGAACCATCTACCACTACCCAACGGAAACTCCCCGAGATCGAAAGTACCGTAACTGAGAATATCAACAGCGATTCGTCAACGACACCGACAGTTAGAGTGTCATCCACAACAGAAAAACTCACACCTCAGACTTGCCCTGAGCTACAGTGCTTGGACGGTAAATGTATAGGGATTAATCAGTTGAATAACGGAGTGCGCGATTGCTCAGACGGCAGCGACGAGCAAGACTTTGGAGAAATTATCACCTAAAATAAGAAAATGTGGAGGAATCATCGGGTAGTATTGTTACAGTATTCTCATTGTTTAATATTGCGTCCATATTTTTGACCATATAATCTATCATTAAGATAAATATATATTGAACTTTTCATGAATTTTAAAGCATTTTCAATAGGACTAAATTGATCGCTTAAAAATCGTCCATGTGCAGCTAAGTAAACCAAAACAATTAGGCACTAAATGCTTCAGTTTTAATTTTTCGGTGATTAGTAGAATATAAAATTGATTTCGAATGAATCTTAATTATAATTACCGCTTCAAAAATTAGAAGTCACGTAGTACATCAAACCGTCCGTTTTACCCTCTGGCGTAGGATGTTTCATTTTATTCAAGTAAGATCAATGAAGTATGATTAATGGTTGTGAATGTGAATCATTATTGATGGAACTTAGTAATTGTAGTGTATTTACTAAGCGCTGATGCAAAAGTTTCAATTTTGTATACAATTTTCACCGATTTTATTTCTTCAAATTACGTAATCACGACTCTAAATTTGAAAATATTTAAACAATTATAAGGAAACAGATAGATACACCGATGTACATTAAATAAACTCGTTGTTAGAATCGAACAAAATATTAGAAATTTTTGGATACCAGCCGAAATGAGAATATTGAAAATAGGAACCATCCAATATTTCTTTAATGTTTCAATATTGAAAAACATTGCTCCGTATTTTTTGTTTGTGTTACTTAGAAAGATTTTTATTAAATAAATAAATATAAGATTAGACCTTTAATGGCGGCTTGGAAATATTTATTTTACACTTGTACATAATACTTTTAGGTGGATCTGTCAAGACAATATGAATGAAGTCTATTAAATCTGTATATAAATAGAACTAATACGAGTACTGAATACACTAATTTGAATGTAAGTATGCTAAGCGAGTAATTTCAACCCTTATTAACTCACTTTCATTATGAAAGTATTCAAAAAACCTGAGAGATAATTTGCACTATTAATACTTCATTTTTAAAATTAAATTTACAATTTTTTTCCTTAGAGATATCTGAAAATTTGTTGACGATTCAAACCGGTATTCCCCAAAGATACATTACCATATTTTGTTGTAACCCACATTTCAATTGATTTTTATTAAATGAATATAGTGAGTTTTTTACTTATGTCTTGATTCTGGTGTGTTATCTTGGATTTTTATTTTTTAGCACTCGTCTAGGATATGTAATAATTTTGTCTGAAGTTATTTATAAACAATTTACGTTCATGCATTTGAATTTACCCCTCAAATATTCAAGCAATAATCTCTTCCCTAGTTATAGCATTTTATCTTCATTTCATGTGTTAATTGTGTCCTAATATATGACTGAATATAGGAAAATATTCTAACTTAATTTTGCTGATACGATGGAATGAATATGAAAAATAATTTCAACATTTCTTTAGTCTTGTTCAATTAAGTGGAAGTCGTGATTTTAATGTTCGCAACATGTAAATTATTCCTTGGTTGTAAAGCGAAATTCGATTAAATTTGGTCTCCGGGAATGACCGTGTAATTTAAAAATTGAAAAACCTTAGTGAGCATTCTGATGAATTATTACACTATTATCATTAAATCAATTATTTCGAATCCGGAAAAAGTTATTTTTCCCTCAAACATATTCGCACAGCTCCTGAAAAACAGTAGTTGAAAAATGCCACTAACGAAAACATCATTATCAAAAATTTTTATATATTGTTAATTCACTATTTTATAAAAATTTCTCCAAATTTCATTGAAACTCATTTTGATTGGAGAGAATATTTCGTTGAGACCGTTTCCCATGCACTTAAACCTCATGCACTTTCATAAGAAGTGATGTATCTTCGCAGGCCGTGTTCACACCACACTGCAGGGCACGTTCCAAACTTATGACGGTCAAGGTCCAGTTCAAATTTCTTTAATGAATTTCCATAGAAACATTCCCACCATGTACAGTGCCTTGCACGGCTGGTGTGAATTCTTCTATGGGTTACACTAAAGAATAATGGATTGATTTTTGACCGGCATATACCTGGCACGTTCCGAGCAATATGGTGTGAACGGGGCCTATAATTCCAGCCATCTGGTATTATCTCAAACCTCTTCCAGTGTCTCCAAAAATTCGTCTGCATTGTAGCCGTACGAATATACCGTCATTGACTATTGACTAGGACATTTTCCGGAAAATGAAACTGGAAAATACTTTTATTATGCGTTTCACAAGTTCCAGCTTTCTGCTCCGACATGACATCAACTGTTTCTTGGGTCGTGCGAGCGAGCGTCGTGTCTATGCATGACAACTTACCTCACATTTAACATTTGCTTCAGAGACACACTCCGAAGATCACATAAATAAACAGAAGAAATGAAGTTCTTTTGAATAACCAATGTGCCCACGCACTATGGTCGAAAAAGTAACCACAGGTACCTCACATGTAAGTCAAGTAACCACAGGTAACTCACATAGTCGAATGCATTTGCACATTTCCATCAATATCTGTAAATTTACTTAGTCTTCTTCTGTAGAAATGTAAGCGCGACGGCTATACCTGCCGCTCTTACTTCAGCGCCAGTCAGACAAACAAACTTTAACCGTGCAGGGAAGTGAACGTGGAGAATTTCTGACACTTTATTGGTAACGAAGGCACTAGTGGCTACGGTAAAACGTGGTAAAGGGAACAGTGAAAACTCAAACTGAACCCAAAATAAACTCGGAATGAAGTCAAAAAAACACAAAATAAACCCAAAAACCCAGCGGATGGCTGGTACTGAACCTGTTGTTCGTGGTTAACCAATAAGATTCTGCAAACAAAGAATAACAAATTTAAGATGTAGCAATAACGGTTAATCCTAAATATTCCTAACAAAATTACTATTAATAAATATCAAAACTCGAATTTATATATCACAATATAACTATTCACAATCATCACGCACTAATTTACATGTCACAATAAATAAGGTCACAGAATTAAGGTTCACCAGCAGTGAAGTGCAAAGTTCTTCACGACTAATAGAATGAAAGTGACGCGCTTCGGATAATCAGGATGAACAGGCTTTTTCTCTAAATGAAAATGCTAGTAAAACCGAAAGACAAAAACATTAATGGAAAAATGAGTACAAATTTAAGACCAAGAATATAAGAAATAACTGTTTCAATGATCGCCAAAAAATTATAAGGAAAATCGCGGTACAAAAATTAGAGACGCATGAGGCGCGGCTACAGAAACATCTAGCATCTATAGATGCTAGACTCTCTATAAGCATTATCCTGTTATATTGGACCTCAAAAATTACTTACCCGAGAAAAAGCAAAGTCAAAATCGATGAAGCCAAGACCGAATTCATGTAAGCTAATGAATTTTATAGAAAAAAAACTGTATCACTGTGGATAATATTGATTCAACAATTACAGAAAAAGAAGGATCGAGAAAATTCACGCTATTTTCTTTGAAAATATTTCGGTTGCCACATCCATCATCAGTTTAAAAATTTCATTAATTAAAGTGATATAAATAATCCATATATTAATTAATTTTCGCGGAATCATGCTATTAGATTTTCACATTCTTACCTCTTAATCCAGTGCTACAGACTCAATGATATTGAAGTTTTCGCCCATTTTCGAACGGAAATCTTGTCTGAGCAACGGTTACATTTCTCATCCGCTTGAAATTGTTAATAAATTGGTTCATATTATTTCTGGTCCCGTTTGGCAGGCTATCGTTATGTGCAAATTTGTCCGTGTAAATTCTGTCTTAGTATTCATTTGACCTGCATGTTTGATGTTCAGAACTGACGATGAAACTGGTCCGAAGCGTTTTGCCGGAAATATGGAGAATATTATTGGCGTTTTTCCGTTCATAAATTCATGTTCGATTTACGTTTAGGCAATCAAACTAAATTCAGAAATCAATACGTCTTCCTGTTATTATTTCAGCAATTACTTATTTGTTTGCACCAATATTAAAGCTACAACTTTTTTCGTGCAATATTAAATATCAATGAAAGGTCAGTTTAATTCACTCTAAAGTTTTTGAGGGAATTTTTTCTAGAGAGGATCGCCCAAAATATGTATATATTCAGTGAGCAGAAATAAAATATTAATATAAATAATAATAATTTTATTTAAATATAAACAAAATAAACGTTGAAAAATAAAATATGAATAGCAATATTATATATCCACGAAAGATCTGTTGAATTCACTCAAAAGTTTTTGAGGGAACTTTTTCTAGAAAGGATCGCCCGAAATATATGTTCAGCGAGCAGAAAAAATACTGAACTTCCCGGTCATTTCCGGTAACTGCATACAAGTAGAGGAACAGTGCGAGGAAAAGATAGGAGCTGTGAAGAAAAATAGCCTACTTTGCGGTATTGATGGCAGCGCGCACAAGAAGAGAAGAAAAAGGTTTTCTCCACCATAATGGCCTGAGTTCAGAAAAAGTCTGAGCCGAGATATTATTTTTCAGCACCTGTGACATGATCGAGGGAGAAACTTGATTCTTTATTATTTTAGTTTAAACTATTATTCAAGAGTTATAGGTTGACGGCATCAGCAGTCACTGATTTTTATTTGATATAATTGTGATGCATGTATTTGAAGGTTCAATTTCCAAATAATAATGATGTCCCAAAATGCTCCATAATTACACCGATTTGCTCAAATGAGGTCAATGGTGATTCCAGTATAACGTTTAGCACGCTGCACCTACATTCATGTTAGGTGCAACGCTAACACCTGCTGAGCCGTGAACGATTTTCAGTCCATGCTACCCATTCATCTGGTCTCAACGGCCCGCCGTAGAACTTAAACAAAAGAGTTGCCAAAGCGCGAATTATTTTCGCATTATTTAAAAAATCTTCTAATACTACCCATCAGCGGGTACTATTTATCTTCAGTTGGTGAGGAGCGACGAATGTACGGAACATCAAAGTGATAATCTAATCGATGTAAGGAAAAAAAACTGCTAAGTGCGATCATTTA